AGCTTTCAGACTCTTCTCCACTTCGCCACAAGTTCTCAGAAATGGTCCCGAGGGACTCGGAAGTTGTTGTGACCCAGGGATTAGGAAGCCCTTCACATATTTATATTTTACCAAGCCTTCCTTCAGTCCAGATGGGTAGTTTTCCACTTAACCCTCAACCCTAATCATCTTTGCATTAGCTATTTCTGTTCCTGTTCTCGGTTCACTTTGGGGCAGGTGAAGGGGTTTAAAGACAGAAATTTTTAAAAGAGCTAACATCCTCAGTTTCATACAGTCTTCACAAACAGTTTTGAAGGACAATGTCATTTTCTTCTTTCATTCCTGTTTCTGATTGTAAAGAATAACTCCCAGACGGGCTGGCATAGGGCTGCTCTTGAGAGGTACAACTTTGTGAGATGACAGGCGACCCAAAAGATGTCCTGGGCATGACCCAGCGACGCTCGCAAAGAGTGATGAATATATTTGGCAGTATTTCCAGCCTGATTAGGAAGTGAGGAAGAGGCGTCTGGTCCTCCCTGGGTGGTGTTTCTTATCAGCCCTGGGCAGCAGAGTGAGGCTGTCACCAGTGAGGTCTGAAAAGAGGAAAGATCAAATTAGCATCTATACCAGCTACACTCAGACATACCCTGCCAAGTCTACTCTGCCCGCCAAAACACACACTCCACCAAAACATCCATACTTCATGAAATGACATTCCTCAATATATACTAGTATAAGTACATTTTTAAAAAAAGATTTTATTTATTTACTTGACAGAGAGAGACAGCGAGAGAGGGAACGCAAACAGGGGGAGTGGGAGAGGGAGAAGCAGGCTCCCCACTGAGCAGGGAGTCCGATGCCCAACGCTGGGCTCGATCCCAGGACCCTGGGATCATGACCTGAGCCGAAGGCAGACGTTTAACGACTGAGCCACCCAGGCGCCCCATAAGTACATTTTAACATCTATAAACACATAGCTATATCCCCTCCTACCCTCAAACATCAGAGCACACAACACACTGAAGTGTGAACTCACTCAGATATACATATATGCTGCCCTCCCTCCCCACGCTGGTACACACAGAGACCCACAAGAACTACACGCTACACAGTGTGGGAGTGAGCTGACGTCATCTTTCTAGAATACCTCAGTCCAGTCTCTGCCAGCAGATAGGCTTCGCTCAACCTTAGGGTTCCACATGTGGTCAGGAAACTGAGAGGTACCCTTGGCGACCAAGCCAAGGCCTTGGAGGCCTAACAGGACACCAGGAAAGACAAGCGTCACACCCAGTGGTCCGGGGAGTAGAGAGCAAGGCCTGTGTGATGACCCCACAGACGAGGCCAGAGCTGAGGCCCGAGGAGAGGGACCCTGTTCTGGGGGTGGGGTCAGGTCTGAGGAGGGCAGCGTGGGATGCTGCGTGTCCCTCTACAGTGGGCCACATAGGTGGGCCAGACAAATGGGCGAGATGGGCATCCAGGACCAGGGGAGTCAGCAGGTCAGGATCACAAGGCACAGAAATTTCTGGTCCAGATGAGGCACAAGCTGATGTCCACCCCCACCCCCACCACTGCATGCCCCCTTGGCAATGGGTGGGGTCACAGGTCAGCACCTTGTGTCAGGGCAGTGCATGTTCAGATTTCAACTCAAGGTCCCTTGGGCGGAGGGGGGAGAAATGAATGAGGAAGAAGAGGAGAGTGGGGAGGGGGCGACCCACCACCCTTATCCTGGTGCTCCAATCACACCTTGACAAGGCCAAGGAACGGGAGGCAGCCCGCAACATGCAAAGGGAAGAAGTGAAACTTGGACTTTTGAGCTTCTAAGGATCTGGCCCTAGCAACTGAAGGGCAGTTTCAGGAAATTTCAAAAAATAATTTGGACAACTATCATATATTTGCCCTTATAAGAAACGGATTGAGAATGAAAATCCTGAGTTGGGTACAATTACACTGCATAGTGACTTGGGAACTTTGAGTGTGGGATAAATTAAGCCTCTTCTCCCTATAGGCTTGTGAGTAGAAAGGAAAGAGGATGAGAAGTGGGGGGAGTGCCTTCTGGTTCCTACAGATGCCCTATACAAAGTTCAGGAACTAATCACCAATGAGGAGGCGAAGACACATCGGGGTAATGGAGGAGGGTCAGGGATAAGACCTCCTTGTTCTTTCCCCCAAATGCACCCTCTTTGCCCCCAGTTTGTCGCAACATCACCTGGAATAACAGCTCTGTGGGACCATGTGGAACTGTGGGCCATGCCATTGTAACAACAGCACAGAGGCTCCATGGGCCAATGAAAAGGGCGCCATATTTGAAGTCGGCAGATGTGGTCCTGGCTCTATTGAGAAGATACAAATGACATGTGACCTGCTGAGTGATACAAAAATCTACATAATGACAGAGTTCTGTTTCCTAAGGCAAAAAACAGGTGATGGTCTGTCAAAAGACTTTTTTTTTTTAAATCAGTTCTGGACAAAAGCAAGGCCCAGAACCCCCAACCCTTGTCAAAGACACATCCACCCAGATGTTAAGTATTTTCAGATTTAAGTGGGGAACTGCCCTGTATACTGATCTATACTTTGATCTGTTTCTCTGACTTCCTTGGTAGTTGCCCTCAGTTCTGGTCTGGGCGACACCTGGTCTCCCTGGATGATGCACTGTAGGTCTTCCTGTTTCCACTCCCAGGCCTGCTTTCTGTAACAAATCATTTTCCTCTCAGCAAGCAGAGGGAAGAGTCTCATCTGGCCTGATCCAGCTTTGGGGAGGAGCTGGTGAAGAGGCCATCTAAGAGATGCGTTCCAGGGCCTCTCAATGAGCTAGATGAAGCCGCGGAGCAAAATATTTGAAATCTAAACTGTCCTGGACAAATGTAGGACAAATGAGCATGGTAACCTGTTTTCAAGCAGCCTGCAGACTGTTGTTGAGATAAGATGTCAACCTCTAAAAATATCCCTAATAATACCAAACAATAGATTATAAATGCCACATAAAGTGGTACAGATAACATTAATTCTGTAGAGGGAGAATGGTCAGTGCAGGTTTTCAGGGCGGAAGACCCAGCTTCAGCTGTACCTTCAGGAGTGTGGGAGGGAGATTGGGAGAGGTGGGTAGGAGGCAGTGAGGTGTCCAGGACATAATGGCATGAGCCCCTGTGCGGCAGAGCCAGACATCTTCAGGCATACCTGGAATGGGGGCCATGTTACAGAGCAGGGATGGAGATCATGGGCAAAATGTTGAGGGCCCTGGGCTGCAGAACTGCTCTGATGCTTGGAGAACAGTGAGGAGAATGACACTGGAGCACAGAGTGGCAGAAACCTAAAAAAGTGGATGGGGCCACATTATGAAAGATCTTAATAGCAGGCAAAGGAGTCCAGACTTAAAGCAGCAGACAAATGGGGGTGGAGGGTGTTTCAGAACAATCTGAGCAAAAGAGCAAGTGAATGCAGACTTTTGGGAATGCAGCTCTCCTAACAGTGGGAAGGGTAACTTGGGGATAGGGTTTGACAAGTCTACTGCAATCATCTAGATATGAAGAAGCAACAGGTCTTGCAGCTGGATCTGAGGAGCAAAGTACAAGGAGAAGTCAAAGGTGAGTGTGAGTTTTCAGGATGGAGTGCCTGGGGAAGTGATGGTATCTCTGACAGAAATGGACACCAGGACATCTCCAGGACAGGAGAAGACAGTGGGCTTGGACTGACACTGACGAGGTGGCTGGACACCCAAGGGCGGGGCAGAGCGGGTGATGGGAGTGGCAGGACGAAAGCACGCAGACTATGCAGCCGCAAAAGTCAGTTGTGAAACAGTAAACATCAGAGTGGACAATGTGAATAGGGTTTCTCTGAGGAAGGCAAGTGGAGAGAAGAGGGAGAGGAGTGAGGGAACACAGAGAGGGAAGAGGGGCGGGAGGGGATCCAGGGCTGGCACAGCTGGGGAAGAAGGCTGAGAAGCCTGGCGTCAGGTGCCCAGGGAAAGGAGGAGGGACTGCCTCCAGAGGTGGTCAGCAGGGCCCAGCGTGCAAGAAAAATAAGAATTGACAGAGGCCATTGGGTTTGAATCATTTAACAAATATATATGGAGCACCTACTATGCCAGATGCCTGATGTGGGTTCGAAGTCAGCCCCAGTGAGGGGACATCTGCTGAGCCCCCGTGCTGGTGCCGGGCCCTGAGCACAGTCCTGCCTGTGGCCCCTGGAGACTGAGGCTGGGTTCTTTCACCCAGAAGCCCGTGTTTATAAAAGCTTCAATCCACAAGGAGGAAGGACAGGAGAGGGAGGGCTGGGGCCCGAAGGGAGGAGGAGGAACAGGGAGTAGATGGGAAAACGTGTGTAGTTGAGAGCAAACCACTTATTAAAAAATTTTGGCATTTAAAGGAAAGCGAGAGCTAGGAAAACAACTTGAGGGGACAGAAAAGTCTTACAACACTGCCGTCAAATAGAGAAGACTCGGATGCTACCAGGCAAGAGAAAAGGCGTTGGCGTAGAGGAAGGGCAGGACTTGTTTGGGGGAGGCGAGATTATTGTCGAAGTAAATAGAAGACTTAGTCCACATTTCCGAGGAGCCTAGAGAAACCTATTTAACAAAGACGGCAAAGCGGTAACATGGTGACAAAACGTCCGGGTGAGTGGTTCTGACAGTGGGGACTGGAAAATGTGGGAGCCGCGAGGGAGAGGTGGTATCAGCAAAGGAAGGCTTCTTGGAGGAGGTGGCCGGTGACCTAAGTCTTGAAGGACTGGCGGAGAGGAGAGGTCCTGGCATTCCCAGCGTGGAGCGAACTGGGCGCAGCTCTCCCTCGCCGAGCGGCTTCGGCCCCTCCCCGGCTCCCCTTTTTCTCCCCGCGCCACCTCGGCCCGCAAGCCCGGCTCGGCTTCCTAGCACTGACGTCAGCGGGCGATGACCTCAGCGCCGAGGAGGCGGCGGGGGCGGGGGCGGGGGCGGGGACTAGCGGCCTGGCCCCGCAGGGGAAGCGGGCGGGGCGGGGCGGGGCGGGGCGGGCGGGCGTGTGGCCCCGCCCCCATCCGCTGGCGGTGGCCAATGGGTGCCGCCGCGGGCTCCCCCGCCTCTCGGAACAGTATGAAAGGCGCGTCCCGGGTAAAGTCCCCGCAGAGCCCGAGCGGCGGCCCAGCGAACAGAGGAGCCCTACAAGCCAGCAAGTCCCACCGGAGCCCTCTCACTGCTCCCCGCCGCTGCCACCGCCGCCCGAGCTGCGCAAGACATGAGCCAGGCCCGCTGGACCGGGAAGAGAACAGACATGCTGCCGGAGATCGCCGCCGCCGTGGGCTTCCTCTCCAGCCTCCTGAGGACCCGGGGCTGCGTGAGCGAGCAGAGACTAAAGGTTTTCAGCGGGGCTCTTCAGGAGGCACTAACCGGTGAGCACCCGCCGAGGATCCTGGCTTCCGTCGAGCCCCGCCGCTGGCGCTGGGCCCCCCTTCCTGCCTGGGCCGTTTTTCGTCTCCTCTTAGGGCAGGGCTCTCCTCGCGAGCAGCTCCGGGACTCGGTTTCTCTCCAGCCCCAAGGCGGCCCGCATCCCCCCATTCCCCTGGGTCGTGTCTCCCCTGCGCAGCCCCGCGCTCGGGTCTCTGTCCGTGATGGTTCTGGTCGGGCGCGTGCCTCCACACTGTCGCGGACGCAGACCCTTGTCCTGGAGTGCGAGCCCAGGCGCCGGCTTCTGTCCGGGGAGAGGAGGCGCCTGCGGGCCCGAGTGCGAGCTCATTCCCCTTACAGAGACTCCGGGGGCGCCGGGGGCGAGGCAGCCCGGCCAGCCAACGGGTCGTCATGGGGGAAGAAGGCGCAATTGAGCCTTCTCAACAACTTGGATCCTTAGCCATGGTTCTTCCGGCGGCGCGGGGCTGCGCTGTGCCCGGGCCCGTTGTTGACTCGTTCGGAGTTGGGATCCCGGCCCCCTTTGTATGCTTTGGCCCCCCTTAGCCATCTGCCACCCATTGTGGTACTGAGAAAGCCCTGTAGGTAGTACCTGCGCTCTGCTGGCCTGTGTGCTGGGGGCGGGGGTGGCGTGAAACGGGAGGTTGACAAGAGATAAGCAGCGACTGCCAGGGGAGAGACCTACCTCCCAGCTGTTTCTAGCCGGTTGGCCGCCGGTCTCAAGCAGCGATAGCCATCTCCAAACGTGCCCATGCAGATCCTGCCTTCTGAGGAGCAACATATGTTTCACCAAAAAGAACCCGGTTTTGACTCCTAGCCACTGCAGAAGGTCTCTCTGGCTTTTGAAGGAGGCAGAGGGAGCCTCTGGGGCCCAGGGTGGGAGACACAGTGACTTGCTGTGGGTCTGACAGTGATGGCAGCCTTGGTCGCCTTGCAGCTTCAGCTCATAGGTCTCCAGAGGCCCTGCCTGGACATGTCCTCCCCAGTCTCACCCCTCCTTCTTAAAGAGTGTGCCAAAAGCAATACACCAGCTACTTGGGATTGCCCCAGAGCTATGGGACTCCCTCCCCATACACACTCACATCCTTGTCCTAGAAGGAGTGAGGGGGGAATCCCATAAAATGTTCTCTGCTTCAGTGGCAGGAGGGTTTCAGGAGGGGCCTGGAACTCCTGAGAAACCACGTCGCTTACTTAAAATCTCTGGGTTCCTTCCTCTACTCCTATCCCTTCATCCCCATCCCCCCTTGTGGTGGCCTTCACAGCCCAGCTGCTCTAACCAGGGCATCTCCCTCTTGTTCCATCCCCACAGAGCACTACAAACACCATTGGTTTCCTGAAAAGCCGTCCAAGGGCTCCGGCTACCGCTGCATCCGCATCAACCACAAGATGGACCCCATCATCAGCAAGGTGGCCAGCCAGATCGGACTCAGCCAGCCCCAGCTGCACCGGCTGCTGCCCAGCGAGCTGACCCTGTGGGTGGACCCTTACGAAGTGTCCTACCGCATCGGGGAGGATGGCTCCATCTGCGTCCTGTACGAGGAGGCCCCGGTGGCTGCCTCCTATGGGCTCCTCACCTGCAAGAACCAAATGATGCTGGGCCGGAGCAGCCCCTCGAAGAACTACGTGATGGCGGTCTCCAGTTAGATCCCCCGCCACCCCCACCAGGCACTCTACTGTACTCATTCTGCCGTGACAACAGGCCACTGCATACCTCAACCTGGGGAACTGTATTTTAAATGAAGAGCTATTTATATATATGTGTGTGTATATATATATATACACACACACAATAATATATATATATATATATTTTTTTTTTTTTTAAGAAAAGGGGAGAAAAAAAACCAAAAGATTTTTTTAAAGAAAAATCCTTAAAGGGAGCTGCTTAGAAGTGGCCTCCCCAGGTGCCTTTGGAGAGAACTATTGTGCGCTTGAGTCTGGGAGCCGGTGCCTGCCTCACAGGAGTGGGGAGTAGTAAGGGGGTGGGCCTGGCAGGGGCGAGGTGGGGAAAGCTTGGCTGGCCCCCCAGGAAGATGTGAGAGGGAGCAAGCAAGGTTAGCAACTGTGAATGAGAGCGGTCAGGATCTGCTGTGCGGCGGGGAGAAGAGAGGCCGAGTTCAGACCTCTCGCTCTCCAGAGCAGGACACCTGCATCCCTGGCCCCTCTCCTCCTCAGGGGCATTCAAGCCTGGACTTCAATGATGCTATGTTGCCTAATCTTCTATTTTTCTGGTGAGATCCAGGGCAGAGAGTGAAAAGGCCTCTCCCAGTTGCTTCTGTCCTAAGTGGCTTTTCTTGAAATCATGACTTGTTTCTGATTCTGTGCTCAGGGGCCTGTAGATGTTGCTTCCCAGGCAGGAAACAAAAGCTTTTTGTTTTGTGGGGGGTCGGGGGAGTAAGGCAGGAGTTAGAGGTTATTGGGGTTGGGACGGAAGGGTACTCTGCACAAAACCTTTGCTGTGTGCTGCTCTTCATGTCAGTATGTGTGGTGAATAACTTGGGGGTGATTTGCAATGGAATTTTGGGACCCAAAGAGTATCCACTTGGGGATATTTGTTTTTGGCCAAAACCTTCTTTTTGGAACCACATGAAGTCCTGATGCTGCTGCCATTATACCTTCAAGAGTTGGCTCAAAAGCTACGGGGAACTCCAGGTTCTTTATTACTGCCTTCTTTTTCAAAGCACAACACTCCTCCGTGACTCTCCCACACCTGTCCCCTTCGGGTTGGGTCATAGAGCCCCCCAGTTTTCCAGAACAGGAGCTCTCACTCACTGTGCAATATGGCCTCCTGGGTCCCAGGAGAGTCTGAAGGAGAACTGGCTCTCAGAACCTCCTGGTGCCCTGGAGGGCTTAGGGAATTCTCCCTCCGTCCTCAGGACTCTGGCTGGCTGGTCAGCCTTGCCAGGTATTCCTTGGCTGAATGGGAGAATGCCCCAAGTTCTGCAGGACTACTTGGTATTCTTGTAGGGCTGACACTAAATGCCACAATCCTGGGCATTGTTTTTGTTTTTGTTTTTTTTTCCTCCCTGGTGCTCAGAGCACCTGTGGGGAAGTTGCTGTCTCAGTACAATCCAAGTTTGTCTGTAGACTTGTGCAATATTTACTGTTCTGGGTTGGAGCCCATGGAAATCCATTCTGGGAAGAAATCCCCTTCCTTCGGTTTTTCAGTGACATTAGTGAGGGGTCCCTCAGAAGGCCTTGAGTTTCCCAACCCCGAGTCACTTTAGAAGGACATAGCTAGAGCATCTGGTCAACTTGGCTCCCCTCCTGTCCAGCGTAGTAAGAAACCTTTCTCCCCACCCCACCCCCCCACCCCCCGAGGGTCCCTGCTCCACTGCCAGTACCCTTCCCTGGATTCCTGAACTACTCCGTTCTGACACAAAGGTGCTATTTATCAAACACTCTCCCCCCCTACCGATTCCTGCCAGTTCTGCCCCCTTTTCAACTCTAGACTCCGAGCTGCCTTCCCAGACCCTGCTTCCAGCCTTTCTTGCTTTAAAGGTAACTTCAGGCCCACAGACCTAAGAGCTCCTTTTCTGGCCTGTGGGTGGAAACGAAGCTGTGAATCCCCACAGATTGTGGTGTTGCATCTTGTCTGCAAACGGGTCCCTGCCTTTTTAGAAGCAGCCTCACGGTCTCGTGCTTGATCTTCTCTTGTTTTTTTGATGTTCACTTTAAAAACAGCAAAACGCCCAGAGCTGGACTGTTGAGCAGGTCTGTTTCTCCTATTAAGTAAAAATAATAGTCCTATGTTTGTAAGCTATTCTGACAGAAAAGACAAAGGTTACTAATTGTATAATAGTGTTTTTATATGGAAGAATGTACAGCTTTATGGACAAATGTACGCTTTTTTTGTTACTTTAATAAAAATGTAGCAGATGAAGCCGTGTGGTATAGAGGTCACATTCCCACATCAGCCTTTCCAAATCCTTTCTTGGTGTCTCGGTATTTCTCTTTGGTGATATTCCGAAGACCTATAGCATGTGGCTGGTATAAAAGAAAAATCTAGTTGTGTGACTCCTTTCTTCATCCTTTAATGAATGTTATCACTTCCCTGTGACAATGCTGGACAGGATGGGGTTCTAGACTGAGCACTCCTGAGTCTGGCCAGGTCTCATGCATCTGTTCTTACTAGGCTTCTGCTGTGCTCATTTGCTCATTCAGCACATGTATACTGTCTGTCCGCACGAGGCACTGATAATTCTTACACATGATTATAAGACTCATAGCCCAAGTCTCAGACTGAGGTGGTGAGCCGAGGACACTGAACCCCTTCCCAGGTTGGGACAGAATTGTGGGAAAGTTCCAGGTCCAGGCTCTTCATTACCTCCTGGGACTGGCATTTGGTACCTCCGCTCTTATTAGACAAGAGCAGTTGGGCCTCTGGATCTGGGCACTGGAGCCCAACGTATGACTGGAGACCAAGGCTGCCAGTGAGCTAAAGAGCATCTACTCCTGACAGCAAAGGTTTGAGAGCCAGAGCTCTGTTACCAATGTATTACTCCCTCTGGCTGTATGGATCGCACATATGCAAGGAAATGAGAATAGTCTTCATCATCCCGGACTCTTGTGCTCTGTCCATGAGGTTTTGACACAGGCTTCTGCACCCCAACCCCACTTAACAAGCTCAGCAGTTCCCACGGAGGTCACAAGGACATCATGGACCTGGGCTAGTTTTTTTTCCTGGCCAGAGGTGGGCTGTATTTAAATTTTGAACACATTGATTCATGAACAGAACCACCCCCCATCAAAACACACTTCATTTCACACCTCCATGACCCTCCTCAACAAACCTGCGGTTGGCCTAGGTGTCCCAGGTGGCAGGGAGACCAGAGAGGCTGTGTATGGTACAATGGGAGGGTAGAAGAAGCAGGAGTTGGGGCCGGGGGGAGCCAGCTCATCTGTCTCACAAATAGACTTGGTTATAAGGACCCACTTATGTCAAGAGGTTATTTGAAGGAATGGTCCCATTTTTGTCTATAGCTTCTAACAGAAATGTCCTAGGCACTCATTTGTAAGGACCCGCCTTTGGGGATGTAAGGACGGGGTTAAGGTTGCATTTTTGCCCATCCCAGTGTGTTATTCTTGTCAGCACCTGTCTTCTTGTTTCCTAACAGGCTCCACTCATGAAGGAGATTTCATTATGTTCCTACTGTCTGGCAGAAAGCCGAAAGGGAGGGTTATCTGGAGGTCAGGGGGCCATCATCACCCACCTCTGTCTCCAAGCCAGGGTGACTGCAAAATGGCAGATTGATTTGGGGATTGTTCTCGGCTACTGGTAGCCTGACAGTCCCTCAACTGACACGGGAGTGTTCTGTGACCGAGCAGGGTATTACTTACTTTAGATCTGACCCATTTCAGCAGCAGCAGCGAGTACTCCTTGGCCAGCTGGGGGTACAGGGGCTGTGGACCCAAACAGTTTGAGGATTTGTGACTGGTGGCTTTCATGCGTTCAGGGACTGGGTGTTGGTTGGTCCACTCTGCTCCCAGCATCCACACTTGGAA